CAGACCAGAGAATTGACGCCTTTGAATTATGATGTTGGCAGAAAATACTTCCAGAAGAATGAACGTATCTGTCTTGGAAAAGTACAGCCAGAATGCTCTTTAGAAGTGAGGATGGTGAGACTTCATCTCCTCTACTTTAGATATTATCAGGAGGGACCCTAGAGGACATCATGCTTGGTAGAGAGTCAGTGAAAAAGACAGACCCTCAACAAGACAGAGTAACATAATGGCTGCACCAGTGGACTCAAACAGAAATTGTGAGGATGGTGCAGGGGTAGACAAGGTTTTGTTCTGTTGAATGTAGGGTGACTAGAAGTCAGAAACAACTTGAGGGAAGACAACAATAGGTTCCTGAAAGGAGCTCTGGTGGCACAGTGGTTAAAAAGTACTAGAGTGCTAATCAAAAGATAGGCAGTTCAAACCCACCAGCCACTCTGTGGGAGAAAATGTGGCAGTCTGCAGCCTTGGAAACCATATAGGGCAGTTCTACCATGTACCATAGGGTCACTATGAGTCAGAATCGATTTCAGGGCCACAACTTTGGTGTTCCTGATTTCTCCCACCTAAACCATTAGGTTCTATAGAATAGCAGGGAGAAACTTATGTCTGGAGGTAGAACAGTGCTTAGATATTTATGATATGAAATACAAAGAGAAAAGTACTGAAAATTTAACTTGTTTATTGACATCTCTCCAAGTCACTGAGTTGGTTCTCATTTAACCTATAATCACAGGGAGTAGGTCAATTAGTATTAATGGCAATGGCAATCAGCTTTTTTCTTCATACAGCAGTCTTTTGTCACCTATGCCAGGTACCAGGGATACAGCGCTAAACAAGGTTATCTGCTTGCAGACCTGTTTTCATATAAAATGGCCTGCTCAGTGTCTTTCTTCCATAGTACATCAACTCCTTAATCAGCCAGAAACCACTTTACTGGTAACAAAGATCCCTTTAGCTTGATTATCCCCAGGGATATGCAAACAAATGATTTCCATCTTGTTCAAAGTTAGCCCATAGCTACAAAGCACTGAGGTCAGTTTCAATGGTACTTACCTTTCTTCCTTTTATGACCACCCAGACTGATAGGAAAAGGAACTGGAAGGTGTTAATCAGATATTTCTATAATGGTAGTACGTCACTTGCAAATGCAAAGGTAGCTAATATGAATCTTTAAATTTGCTTTAATAAATTAAGCATAAATTTATAGTAACAGCTATATGCTTGACCTTTCTTATTACTAAAAATTACTGAGTACCAGTACACTAAAGATTTGTAAGGCAAGTGTAATACAAAGGACTGTACACTAACCATGCTCAATAGAATGCTATCTTTAAAAGTTCACTGTAAAATTAATAAAATATTTTAAGATCATACTATTTTAAGATTATTGTTGCCAGTCTTAATGTACTAAAGGTGGAAAATAAGAAGTCAGTCACAATTTGTTAAATAGGTCCAAATGAAGAGGAACTTATTTTCCTTTCCAATGTGAAATGAGAAGTAAAAATCAGGAAATAAAATTTTTATTACAGAAAAATTGAAGCCAAGGCCAAAGACCTTGTACTTTGGATAAAGGTTTCAAAAGAAAACTACCTTATATCCTTGTGCTAGTTGATTAATAAGCTACTATAGCTTTTAACTGCTGTGCAGCCCTGTCTCAGGTCATGGAATCCATTCTTCAGCAAGCAGATAAAACATCTGTTTTCTTAATAGTCATTATCCATTCTTTATTATGGGGCAATGTACTAGCAAGTCAAAGACCCCAAACAGATTATATATATATAAATTTATGTACAGTGAAATACACAAAACTAAAGTGACATGGGTCAATGCATTTTTTTTTTTTTTTGCAGTGTTCCCTCCCCTCCCACCCCTGGCAACCAACAAAGAAAGTTTCCCTCCATATATAAACCTTTCCTTGACCCTCCACAACAATGAACTAATAATGTATTTGTCCTTCTGTGATTGACTTATTTCACTCAGCATAATGTCCTCCAAATTCATCCATATTATTTGGTGTTTTGCAGATTCTACTTTACTGTTTAGTGCTGCATAGCATTCCAGTATGTGTATGTACCATAGTTTGGTCATCCACTCTTCCGCTGGTGGGCACGTAGGTTGTTTCCATCTTTTTGCTATTATAAATAGTGCTGTGATGAACATGAGCGTGCATCCAAACAGATTTTTTATTTGTCTTTTGTATATCAGAAATCAGATGATTTTTATTTGTATTAAATACTAGGTAGACTCTGACTCAAAGATGTAACCACTAGATATATGGGAAAGGTATTATAAGATTTTTTTTTTCTCAGTTGTAGCCCCTTTTATCACATACATTTAGGATTATCAATAGCAAGCACTTAAAATATATATATTTGAAACCTGACTAGAAACCATTCTGCAAAATTTAATTTCTATCTTGTTTAGTTCTGCCCATCTTTAGAATTATGAGCTACTACTATTATGTTTTCGTATATTAAATGCAGTTAATTCTAAAAATTGCTACCATCGTTAAGAAAGGTAAATAAAATACATGAAACAAATTTAGGTTGTATCGTCCTTTTGCAGATAACTGAAGCAATGACTTTATCCAGTTAGGGTAATTCTCAATAATTAGTAGCTTTCCCCAGCAACTTAGTAGGCACTCCAAAAACAAAACAAACGTCAGGTAGTTGAGTCTTTGCCAACAGGAAGAATGAAAAGAAAGTTGAATTAACTAACATTGGTTTATTTTTGGTATCTAACAGCATTAAGTATAAACTCTCTTCCCCAAAGGCCCCTTTTATAACAGCACCAGAGTTACAGAGTTAGGAGATAAGAAAATGGCAAAGTGGGTGCTGGTCAACATATAAATGATGCCTCTCCCTACTTGTTTGAGAAACAGATAGGAATACTGCTGTCATCTCCAGTTCCAAAAGACATAACAAGGAAATTTTAATCAGTGATGATTATATTCTGATGCCATCTTGGTAATGTAATTTTATTTGCCAAATGTTCTTTACAAGCTTATCAGAAAACTATCTTTAAAACCAGTGCTCTCTATTAAAATTGGTAAGCTCTACCCCCAAAAAATGGGCAAAAACAAAATTAAGGCTCAACCCAGACTCCTTATATTGTATTACAGTGTAAATGATTATCTAAGAATCACTAAATTTTTATAATGGTTTAATTAAACCAAAAACCAAAGTCACTGGCATTGAGTCAGATCTGACTCATAGCGAACTCTCCTTGGGTTTCCGAGGCAGTATCACTACCAAAGTGGACTGCCCTATCTTCCTTCTGGAGGAGTAGCTGGTAGATTTGAACTCCAGCCTCTGGTTAGCAGTCAAATGCATTAGGCACTATGCCACCAGAGCTCCCAATGGTTTAATAGTGTACCTATAATTATAATGACCTAAAATAAATTTTCTATTTCTAAAACACTGTATAAAAGTTGGTAACCGGTGCATGTCCTTATATACATGATTGTGCTTTTTCACTCGGTATCTGGAACCTTCCCACTCCTATTTAAAAAGGCTACACTAGCATTTGATGGAATACCTATATTTTTCCATAATTTTAAATAAAAGGCTTAACAAAGGAAACAGGATAAGAAGACAGTCAATATGTATGGACTATTTTTAAGGGATAAAAATAGCTGGCAAAAGTGTCTACTTAGGAGAAGATCAAGAGGACTACAGTAGAAAAGGGACACTTTCATATGCATTATGCTACTTTAAAAATTATGTTACTTACCTTCTCAATTAAAAAATAAAAAAAAATACTTAAAAATTAACATTTTAGATATCATAGGTATTAATGAACAAGAAGTCTACCTCAAAAGCAAGGACAGATTATTTTGAGGAATCCTGAAACAACTATATTAGTTTAGATTTATCCAAGGCAGCTGTTTTTATTCCAATTTTTGAAAACCAATATAATATAGCAAGAGGATTTAATCCTTTATTCTAAGTAGTAATAGCCACAAAACTGAAAAGTATATTTTGCATATCCCCTGATCTTTCCAATTCAGATTATACTTCCAATTTCTTCTCCAATGATTTTTTGTGTATTTGTAGCGCTAGAATAGCCAAAGATATATTGAAGTGTTTTTGTCTTTCTTCTTTAGAGATGATGATGCTTCCAGAGACACAACTAACTTGTTTGAATTACATCTAAAGTAACTTGAGGTGTTACCAGCTGGAAATACAATGACAATTGTGGGCTGTATATTCTTGCCTTTCATAAAATGTTTACAGTACATACTGACATAAAAAAGATAAGATAGCATTAACCCTTTCAAGATGGAATTTTCTGCTTATAATTTTTTGTTGTAAGCCTGTTTTTTCAGTAATGGAAGGCATTTTGAATGGAATTAAAAAATATTTTTTTTGAGGTAATATGAATTTTGATATAATTAGTGAACATATATGTCCCAAAGGATCTCTGGTGCTAGGGTTGGTGACATGAAGCCCGTATCTTCAAATTCATGCAGTTATACAGGCCCTCACCAGATGGCAGCATGCATTAAAAGTGGGATACATCCTTCCCACTGAATTCCCAACGCAGAAAAAGTAGGTGGGCACTCTATGTCCCATAGATCATGAAAAGGTTAAGATTTGGTTGTGGTTAAAGATGGGAAGGAAGGTTGGGCAATCCTACTTCCGTAGTGATACTGCCTCGGAAACCCAAGGAGGGGTCGCTATGAGTCAGGGCTGACTCGACGGCACATAACAACAACAAAGATGGGAAAGCAAAACATATTTAAAATTTGATAAAATTTTTAGTTCATAGTATCCTAATACAGATATACAAACAAAAGGGAACTTTCAACCTGGCAGTTTAAAATGGGTTGATGTTGGAGTAACAACTGTTAACTAGATTATGTGATAATGTCTTCCTAGTTAGCCACAGATATTAAAAGACTAAAATCCTGCTTTGTGGTTTTAACAAGTACTTACAGCTGCCAAGTGCCAGTTTAAGTATACACAGACTGGATTTAAATTACGTAAAAGTAAGTTCATGTAGACAGGAGAGGCATTTTTTATTTCTTCAGTGATGTATGACGTATGTTCAGTTCAATATAAATTAAAGCCCTGCTTGTACACCGAAGCCAGGTCCTTTGGGTGGTTCAGTCAAAGAGGTAAGACCACCAGCTGGCTCACAAGAAAAGCGTCCACTCCTGAAAAGAAAGTTAACGTTTTATTGACTAGTAATTTATCAACTAACATTTAATAATTTTTACTTAAAATAATTATTACTTCCTAACAAGCTCAGTTAAGTAACTATTTTTCTCCCCAATAACTAGTATGGATTACTTAATTCAAATATTTCAACTGCTGCAAGATTTTTTCTTCCTAAAGTTAAATATGAAAATAGGCATATAAAAACTCACATGATTATGAAAAAAATACTAAAATTACACAAATAGCAGCTCTCATTTATTGAGCAGTATACATATACTACCTCAATCTTTAAAAAAACGCCATGAGACAAGTGATATTGGCCTTATTTTACAGATACTGAAATTAAACATCTGACCAAGGATTAGAGCTAAAAGTGATGGGAAAATTAACCCAACCCTGGAGGACGTCTTTTAAAATCATGTCTTAATAGACTAGAGCACTACATTTTTTCTTTTTAGAGTTGTACTTACTTAAATTGAGATCCACTGAGTGAACAGAAGGGCATACACATTTAATTCATTATTGTATACTGTGTTTAGAAGTAAACAGAAACTGGATTCCCTGAGGGATTTGAAGATTTGAGAGGATGATGTCCCTTAGAAGCAGTGAAGTATTTTTCCTTTATGCATTTTAACAAAATTTGTTGTTGTTGTTGTTGTTGTTAGTGGTATAAATTTTTCACTCTCACCCCAAAAAGAAAGTTCCAGATTACAGCAACTACTATAGGCATGAATAAAATAAAGCAACAGGACCTGATGAAGGTATCTATGAAGACAGCAGAGAAGGAGAAGAACCTGCCTTTTGTCTTCCTTCACCCACATATGTATTTTCCCAGATAACTGCTCACCTTCTGACCTGTGTGACCTGTGTTGCCAGAGCACAGTCCAGCAACTACTTCTTATCATTTTTCTCTCTCCTACTCCCTGGCTCTGTTAATTTACCTTGTTCCTCACACAGATTTTAGTTGAAGAAATCTGTTCATTTCTTATCTTTTTAACCGTCTCTGGCTTTGCCCTTCACATTTGGCCATCAATCCTGTAAGCCTGTTCTTTTGAGCCCTAGCAAATAATTTTTGAGGAGACAGGAGAGTGACACTACTTAATCATTTATAAGTCTTTCAAGCGAGCATAGTACATGATACTAATAGCTAAGTAATGTATTTTAATGAAAAATGCCTAAAAAGTCAGAAATCAGTATTTCTGCATTATAGGTCTTTTTGTTCACTCTAAAAACCAGACTAAAAACCATCATGCGTACTATCTGTCAGAGCCTAAAACTAATTTTGTAGAGTAAGCTGCAAAATTGTATTTAACTTAAAAAAAAAAAAAAGTTGGATTTGTAATTTTTTACACAGATGAACCTGCTATTCTTTGACTGCCAATGAAATACTGAAATAAATTTATTTGGGATGACCTTCCCTATTCTCCTTTACAGGGTTTTAATCTCAGCTACTTCAGCTATCAAATTTCTCTGCTTAAAAGTCTTGATGATCAAATGTCAGAATGGAATGTGATTTAAATGTTTTCTTTTAGAAGCATATTGAAAGCTAAGCATTCAGAGCATATCTTAAACCCTCTTTATCATCCCTTAGATAGATATATGAATATTAAAAAAAAAAAACAAAAAACATTGCTTTCAAGTCGATTCTGACTCACAGTGACACTATGGGACAAAGCAGAACTGTCCCATAGGGTTTCCAGAGCTATAATATTTACAGAAGCAGACTGCCACATCTTTCTCCCACAGAGCCGCTGGTGGGTTCAAATCCCTAACCTTTCAGCTAGCAGCCAAGTGTTTGGCCATTGTGCCCTCAGGACTCCTTAATAAGCTCCTTACATACTAACATCTTTATAAAACAAAAACAAATTTTGGAAAATTATAAAAACTGAAGTTTCTGGAACAATAAATGGTAGAATTAATCATACACACTACTTGAGCTCCTCATAGGCTTATGGAATTTTATATATGGAAATAATGTTAGAAATAATTTATTCCAAAGTCTCTTAAAATTTGTTCCATGAAATTACAGTCCCATGACATTCTCTGGGAAGGAAAAAAAAAAGGGTTCTATAGTCCAGTGTGGATTCTCCTTCCATTCATACAATGTACACTAGAGTATTGTAAAGGCTATAAAATCTTACACTAAATCCTATATTTATTTAATCTACAAGTTTTATAACTTTTTCTTTCCGCAAAAAACATCTGAGAATGTTTATATATTGGAGGACATTTTCTTTATTGGTTACCAGGGGTGGGAGGGAAGGGGAGGGAATGCTGTTAGATAGATAGAGATAAATATTGATTTGGGTGAAGAGAAGGGCAATGTACCAAATGTGAG